CTCTTGCTTGGCGCCATCCGGTTTGCGACGGTTGCTTCTTGAATTTTTCTCTAGTGCTCCTTCTTCCTTCGGCGATTTTTTTATTCTTTATTTTTATTTTTTGTTTTTTAGATATTTTTCCAGGACACCTCAAGCAACAAATCAAGAATTTGAAATAATTGGGTTTGTTGGATTAGGCACCACTGTACTCGACTCTTTTCTGTCTTGTGTGTTGGATTTTGGTCTGTGATGAAATCGTGCTATTCCGTATTCGCGAGCAACTACAATTTTTTTAAACTATTTTTTCGAGTGGAGGTTGAATTACGCTGCAAATGTACGAGGGCTAACTGATAAGTTTTTTTCAGGAGCTTATGAAAGATTCAAAAGAACTTTTTGCAACAAGTGATTGAGCTGTAGCGATTTTCTTCGAGTTCGCAATACCTTAGACTGAGTCAAACATCTTCAGTCCTTTTGTGTAATCAAAACCAAATTTAATCATATAAAAACCGTGTATTATTAAAGTGATGCAAGAATTGAGGCCAGAGAAAATAATTTGCGTTATGTGGAATACTGTTCAAGTAAACCTTTGCGCAAATAAAAAAAAAATTAGCAATTCACTGTTATTAAGACTTCTTAACTCCGAATTATTTCATCTTTGCGTCAATTCGTGTAAGATGTTAATTATATCAAGACTTCCACGAAAGTTGTAATCTTTTTTTTTCAATTTGGCCCTAAAATAATCACGTGATTCAACATTCACTCCAAAAAGAATTCGTTGTCAAATGTTCGCGGATTTGGACGTCTTGTCAACCGAAATATAGTTTTTTTGTTTGTTACGAGACCTTTTTATCCGTCTCGTCAGAGTGGAAATCAGCGATGGCAGGAGAAATAGCGTTTGATTGATTTGCGTCATGTGATGTATTATAACGTGGGATCATTGATATCAATAGATCAGTAGGAAAAAAGACAGCGTGAGACCCTTTTTTTGTTGTTGCGTGAAATGACGTCGTCGTCGGATTTAAAAGCAGTCATGGATCGACTGCAAACTCAAGTGAGTCTGTTTTGATTTCTTCTCGATAAAATCCCTTGAATTGAAACGTCAAAGCAATGAATTCGCGATTTTTTGAGTTATCTGCGACATTGCAAACGAATTTAAGGATACAGTGTTCGCATTTTGCAGAATGCACAGTATTACTGCCCAACTTCAATTTCTGGAGCTTAAAATAGATGTCACCTGCATCAAAAACTGTACATACATTCACCTACTGAATTTGAAATATCCTGACCCGTTTTACCTGAATCGACCTGGAACTGACGTATTCAAGCTCAATAATTCTTTTTTTTTATTTGAACCAAAAAGGTCGTGGTCAGATGCATGCGACACCTGTGCGTAAAATGGCGAAGAGACAATCCAAGATAACGCAAATTAAATCGCCACTTGAGAATACTCTCTCTTGTTTTCGTGTTATCTGAGTGTTTTTATGCCCGTAGTTGAGGAAATAATAAAAACTAGCCAAACGTTGCTCCAGCAATTTGATCTCCGGGTTTGTACATGCAACGTGTTTGAAGCTCTTTTAAAATCATTGCGGGGGTAAGAAACTATATGCAAAACAAATGGATATGAAAATCATTTTGGAAGAAAGTTTTTCCAGATAATTTGTGAATATTATAAGTATTTTAATTGTCACAGACCTGTTATAAATTGTGCAAAAAAAATTGTGAACCCGCAGAACCAGCAGAGAAATCTGTTCGCGACTTTTTGCGAAAAATTTACTCGAAAAAGGACGTTAACCAGTTCTTCCAAATACTAGTGGACAGTTTACGAGGGACCCGAAAAAATTCGTTGTAGAGAACCCCGCGTAACATGGGGAGATAACTCAACAAGAAAAAAATCGTTGTAGATAGAATCCACCTGTAATTGCATTTTTCCGATTTCGCCAGCTAAAATTTTTGGTGATCAGCGTATTTTTAGAATTTCGAGACATGATTATAAAAACGGCTTTATCAATTTATCATAATGTTTCAAATACATAATATTCCTTTTGGGGGGTAAAATTGCAGATGGCGACTTACCAAGAGTTGAAACGCGAAGTGGAAAACCTGGAATCGAGGGCCGCTCCCGACGTTTCCGCTGAAATTGCGGAGCTTGAGAAGCAAAATGCGAAGATGCGATACCGTCTCAACATCCTCAAACGGTCCATGGACAAACGATGCCAGGAATCCAGCGATTCGGGAGGTTCTGTTCACGTGAAAGACGACTCAGCAATGGTCAATGTCATCGGTGTACTGGAAACCATTTTTGCTGCGGCGTCACAAAAGGCGTTTCCGGAATTGAGCAATTTCCCTGTTGCGGTTCATCCTGCGTCGAAGCCCCAGTTTGGAGATTATCAGTTCAACTCTGCGTTGGGAATGGCGAAGGTGTGATTTTTCTTACAGGCTTCAGCCCATTTTTTTCACATGGAATACCCCAGGATTTATTCAGATTTTTCCATCGAAAACTGTACTACGGATTAGTGAGGTTATGAGGCGCAGGTTGGTCAAAAACATTTTGGACCGATTATCAAGGATCTTTTTTTTAATATTTTAAAGTTAGAAAAACTAAATGGTGAGTTGGAGAAATGTTCATGGTTTTGCTTTAATTTTTCGTCTTGGGATCCGTGTGGCAATTAGAAAGAAGTACAGTCCTGCAGTTGAGAAAATTGTCCTCCAAATCTTGAAAAAAAATTCTACCATGTAATAAAAAAATTGAATTTGAGTTTATTGAATTGGCTCTTTAATGAAGCCTATTTGAATGAGTACTGTGACACAATTCGAAAAAAAAATATATTCCGAGGAAAATTTCCTATTGCCTTTTCATCATGATTCTGCCGTTCCTTCAAGCTTTCGTGGCATTCCGACATTTGTTTAAAATCATGGTGCGAAATTTTTTCAGCAAATTGCCCTTGATTTTCGCTAGTAATTGCCGAGGTATCTTTTTTTCGCAAATCATGCAGATTTTCCAGTCCACACAATGACCCGTTTTTCCGAAATTTCTCCAAGATTTTTACAATTGAAAATCTGAATTGCGTGTGATTCCTATTCTATTAAATTGAGTTGACCGCATCTCTCTTGAGCGATTTTCGTATTTTTATTTGGACCTTCTTTTATATTTGTCATTAAATTGTTTTCGGTGATTTATATATTTTTTTACTTTGCTTTCATGGGCAAAGGTGTCCAGGAATGATTTGATGCGTTTCTATTGGAAAAACAAATTTATTTTCGTTCACCATATCCCTGTTTGCTTTGATCCAGGCTTTGTCAGAGAAAGGAGTTAAGAAGAACCCGCGGGAAATCGCAGTGGCCGTGGTAAACAACGTTGCGGTCAAAGAGAAGAGCGAATTGATCGAGTCCCTAGAAATTGCTGGGCCTGGCTTTGTCAACATCCGTCTGAAGTCATCTTACGTTTGTGACCTGGTTTTGTGACCTGGTTCGGGATATTTTGCTATTGGGTGTCCGGCCTCCGAAAGTCAAGCGACAGCGGGTCGTTGTCGACTTTTCGTCTCCAAATATCGCCAAAGAAATGCACGTCGGCCATTTAAGGTAGAGAAAAAATTGTTAAAATGTTTTATTTTTTTGTGTGATGAGAGTTCTCCGAAAGTCCTGCAAGTCATCTTCATATTGTCATAGGCAAGTTTAGTGTGGGGCTAGTTAAAAAAAGATGTATTGCTTGGATGACGATGACGTACAATTAGAAATACTTTAAAGAACCGATGATCTTGACCTATTTTTGGAGCACCTGGAAGAACAAGGACTTTGTGTGTCCTCGTATGCTTTTTTTAGTTATTTAATCTGGTGTTGTAATTTTTGCGAGGCTGTCAGGTATTTTTTGAATCCATTGTCCGTAGTTAATGACGAAGGAAAAATGGTGTCCTTGAAAAATCTTGATTATGGGTGGCGATAATTATTTTTCTTCACCAGTCAACTTTTTTGTTGATCTTCCCTTCCCCTCAAGTGTTTCTTTTCGTATTGATGTGAATGAGTTTTTTTTTTATTAAATATTCAAGGTCCACGATCATTGGTGATGGAATATCTCGTCTTTGCGAGTTCGTGGGACATGACGTTCTTCGACTGAATCATCTCGGAGACTGGGGCACACAGTTTGGCATGTTGATCACCCATTTGCAGGAAAAGTTTCCGGATTTTAAGTCGAAAACTCCGGAGATTAAAGACTTGCAAACTCTCTATAAGGTAACATTCTCAAGGCTTCAATATACCCTTCGTACCATTCATTCGTACCACGAATTTACTAAAGAGATGTTTCACTCGTTAATTCTCTTACTTATCGCAGAAGAAATTTTTTTTTAATTGTGCTTATTTCGTTGCAGGAGTCGAAACTGCGTTTTGATACCGAAGACGATTTTAAGAAACGGGCTTATTTGGCAGTGAAATCGTTGCAGAGTCATGATCCGGATTATATTCTCGCTTGGGAGCAAATATGCGAGGTTTCCAGGAAAGGTTGGTGAATTTTTCTTATCGCAAAAAATACAGGGTTGCCTTCAATGCTTAAAGGCATTTTTAATATTTGCATGTCAGAAGTGTGGAATAACCTGTAAAGTTAAGAGCTGCCACGCAAAAAATTTTCACTTCCTTTTTTTGCACAATTTTTAACATGTACTGTACTCAGCATGGCTTGGTAAAAATGTGTATTGAAATTAATTTTGTCGTTTTATAAAATTCTTGTAATCTGTAAATATATATTTTAAATCTATAAAATTTCGTCTTTCAAATTGGTTGTCCCTCATAACTTATCCTGTAACTTTTAGGCGGAATTTAGATGTTTCACTCGGGAGTTTTTTTTTTTTTTAGCAGAAGGCTAACAGAAGATCTCAAAGTCTTTTATATGCTGGACAACCTATAGTTCTATTGGCTAGCGCCTCTCAGTAAAATGGTTAGGGCGTACCTGCGACAGCACTTTAACGACGTTCTGTTGGGTTTGCTGATAGAAGACGAAGGAAGAAAAGTGATGTTTGCCAAACCTGAGTCCAGCAAGGTGCCTTTAACTGTTGTGAAAACTGACGGGTCCTATACTACGCTGTCGTGAAATTGCTGCAAGACAAGGGTTTGCTGATAGAAGACGAAGGAAGAAAAGTGATGTTTGCCAAACCTGAGTCCAGCAAGGTGCCTTTAACTGTTGTGAAAACTGACGGGTCCTATACCTACGATACGTCGGATATGGCTACTTTGAAGCAGCGAATCGAAGAAGAAAAGGCTGATCGAATTATTTACGTCACTGACGAAGGACAGGTTTGTACGGATAAAAAAATAAATCTTCAAATCCACCCAACCTCACATTAAGGCTTGAGTCTTTCTAAAAAAATTTTAAAATTCCTTGTGTTTAAATTGAGAATTTTTATAGTTTTCTCGTTTGTCTGCGATTCATTCCGAAGCATTGAAGATTCTATTCAAAACATTGCATCAATTTCGATTTTTTAAATAAATATAATAAAAATTTACCGTGAAGTAATTTCAGTCGAATTACGTAAGGCTGAAATTCCTGTTTCAGAACATTCTTTTCCTCTATACATCCCACAGAATGTCAGCGATATTATGTCAGGTTATTCATAAATTCCTTTTAAAATAAAAGGGGACTCTACAGCGAAATGCAATGGAAACCCCTATAATATGGGAAGAGAGTCTACCTGTATTGCATAATCCAAAATATTCGTTTATCCTATCGAAGGCTCACTATCGTGGGCCTGGTTTTGTTTTATTTCGAGTGCGTATGACGGTATTGTTCTTTTCTTTTTCTCTGCAGTCCACGCATTTCAAGACGATTTTTAGCTGCGGGGAAATTGCAGAAATCTGGGACCGTAGTAAAGTGCGTGTGGACCACGCCACTTTCGGCGTTGTCTTGGGCGAAGATGGGAAGAAGTTCAAGACTCGCAGTGGAGACACTGTGCGACTCGCTGACTTGCTCCTAGAGGGCGTTCGTCGAGCCGAGGAAAAGCTGAAGGAAAAAGGTCGGGATCAGGAACTGACTGCCGAGGAACTCGTTGCGGCGAGGGACAACGTTGCTATTGGGTGCATAAAGTACAATGATTTGTGTCACAACCGGTGTCACGAGTACATGTTCAGCTTTGATAAGGTTGGTGATTATTCAATTAATTGGAATACAGTACTGTACTGAATTTGTTTTAGATTATTACTGTACTAATCGGGTTTGCAAGAATAAGTGTTTATTTTTTGAGCTGATGTTCGTGATTTATGAGTAAAATGAGTTACAGTACGACGGACCAGACAAAAGGTAGCGTGTGTGATTTTTCCGCCGTCAGGGTTAAGCTGAGCTGGATATTTGCATTGTTCCTATACTTCCTCGATAATTGAGAATTTCAGAATTTTAGTTGACCGATAGTTAGAAATTCTGAGCCTCAGAAATACAGGAAAATTGTTTGTGAATCGGTTGAATTCCCTTAGTTTCAGAGTTTTTTCAAACCTATATGCTGTACTCGAACTCCTCACACACTGGAAGGGATATTTTGGTTTTACAGGTGGACTCTCCACAACGAAATTCTACCTAAAATCAATTTTTTTCGTCCGTTAAATTTCGTTGCAGAGAGAGTCCACCGGTAACACCAAAATAACCCATACAGTATTTGAGAAAAGAAAAACGAAATTTGAAGGACCAGAAAGAAATTTGTTTTAGGTAGCTTTGTGGAGAACCCTGTGGGACAAAAAATGAAATCGTTCTACAGATAAATCTTTCTAGATCCTGTATTAATTTTAGATATCTGAGCGTTTTTCTGTACTTCTTATTTCCATTAATTTTTTATTGCAGTGAACTGGGTTTTCTGTAGCTATAAAAAATTACGGGAAAGAACAAAAGAGTCAGGAATCATTCCTTGATATGATCCTTGCAGATGCTAGAGGATAAAGGAAACACTGCTGCGTATCTTCTCTACCAATACACGAGAATCAAAAGCATTTCTCGGTTGGGCGGCGTGAACGAAGAAGAGGTTCTGCAACGAGCTGCGAATGAACCTTTGGTCTTGGAGCACGAAAAAGAAATTAAATTAGCCAAGGTATTTTTTTTCTTGAAATTTATTTTTCAGTCTATGTGGACGATTTTTAAAATACAGTATTACAAACGTTTCGCAGACGCTGATGAAGTTTCCAATCGTGATTGAAAGGCTGCTCGATGACCTGTTACTTCATTCGCTCTGCGAGTATCTCTACGAGGTGTCGCAGACGTTTTCGGAATTTTACGACAACTGCTACTGCATCGAACGTAACCGGGAAACGAGTGAGTTGATGAAAAAGCTATTTGACTTTTTGAACTTCGCAACGACGGGAATCGTCAAATCCGAGGATTTGACGATTCGAGCTTCGCAACAATCTTCGGGATCCTTTTATACTCGCATGAACGCGGTATTTTTTGATTAGGCTATATACTGTATTGTGAATTTTCATGTGTTTTAAACCAGTGTTCCCCAACGCCGGTCCGCGGAAAATTTTCTGCACCATAATGAATAAAAAAATACAACAATGAAGTCTTATTTTTTTATGAAATTTCCAACAGACAACTGTAGTTTAAATTATCTGATGAAGAAATAAAAGTTGGCTTTTCTGTTAATTAAATTTCGGACAAATTTTCACCTGATGAAATGAATTATTTCAATTTTCAAGTCTGAGAAACCTTTTTTCAAGCCCCCCTTTCTAATTTTTGAAGACATTCCACTACCTAGCTGCTTAAATGTCCTGAATTTTTGAAAAAAGAAGTAGAATATGTTCAAACGTCTGCCAGAAAGTATTTCGAGCAGCGCTTGAGAGTCTGCAAAACTTTTATAAAACTTTGCTGGTCCGCAGACATTTTTTTGGGATTTGGCCGGTCCGCGCAAAATTTTATGGAAATTGGCCAGTCCGCCGGCCCAAAAAAGTTGGGGAACACTGTTTTTAACTACTGTATATTATTTTCGAAATAGTGTACAGTGGATGAACCTGATGTAATGAAACGGATGTCGTGGTAGCATACAGGTCGTTTGAGTTGAGATTTTAATTTTATTCTTTCAGAGGAAGTGATCAAGATTCACTACAACAGGCTGATGATGTGCGAAGCCACGGCCCGTATAATGGCTGCATGTTTCAATATCCTCGGAGTGAAGCCTGTCTCTAGGATGTGAAATTCTTGTTGTTGTTGGATCTAGCAAACGGTTCAAGAAAGCCAAATATGCTCAGCCTGCTGAACTACGCTTCTGTTTTTGTTTTGGTTTTGTTTTTTCTTCGTTTGTTCGACGATTTGAAAGAGGAATTTAATCATACTTGTCCCCTTTCACAGATCTCTACTGTGTGTAAAAAAGTAAAAATTAGTGGGTAGTTTATTTTGCTTATTCCGTTACCGTGTGTGAGAAGAAAATTTTGTTTGCCGACGATATTCGCGGCTGTCCGATTTTTTCCCCTCCGTTGGGTTGTGATACTGAACGCCATGTCCAAGTGCGCTCGTTGCGAAAAGACTGTGTATCCCATGGAAGAATTGCGGTGTTTGGAGAAGGTTTGGCATAAGGCTTGTTTCCGGTGCAAGGAGTGCAACGTGTTGCTCAACTTGCAGAACTACAAGGGGCTGGAAAAGACTCCGTATTGTCGAGTGTGAGTTTACTTTTTTGGAGGCCTTTCCTCATCCCGTCATTAAAGTTTTTCATTCGTTTTTTTTTTTTTTATCGGGATTTTTTTTATAGAGAGGAAAATAATTGTGAGAGTTGAAGCTGAAGTTTTAAAGATATTCCCGATTGAAATTCATGAAATGATATTTTCTGTCGAAGACTTGTCAGAAAGACGACAGATTTTTAAAGTTTAAGGGCATTACTTTTAGAATTTTTTTGAGTTTGAAACAAAATGGAATTTTTTCTTTTTACAGATGGACTCTCTTTCTCTCTACAAGGAAATTCAGAGGACGGGAAAAACATTTTTTTGGGGAGAACTTCATTGTAGAGAACCTCTGTAGGATCGGTACAAAAACACCTATGCCCCTATGGGACCAAAACAAAAATCGTAGAACAGAGAAAATCTTTGTAGAGAGAGTCTGCCTCTATTGGAAAATACCAGATTGCCCGCGTAGCGCGTTTTTCAAGACTTGAATTCTGCATTACCATATTTTTGTATATACAGGATGGATAACAAAAGAATTAGGCAGGTTTTGAAAAACTGATATTTCCTTTATTTTTTGAGACGTCTACCTTGAAAAACGAAAATTAAAATTATTTTTATGGAATTAACTTCCCGGTGTTGATGCGATTCTAAGGTCCAGCTAATTTACGTGGTTGTAGTGAGACAATTTGAAAATTGAGCTCCTCTTGAAAAGTGTTGTAAGGAATGTTCTTCGTTTTAATTCCATTAGTTTTCAGTGTTCCGAAAGTGAGAATCTCTTCAGAATTAATACGCATTTGTGGGAAAGTTGTTCAGTGTAAAACCTTGCCGATCGTCAACATTTCTTAGTTTAGAAATTTTGTAGGACTAATGAGTCTGTTCACGCATAAAAATACTGTACATAGAAATTTTTTGTGACAGACGTCATTTTTTTTAATTTTGAACCCGGATATGGTTTTTTTTACTGCTCATTTGTTGTGTTCTTCGAATTACCAGAAACTTTAAATTGAAAAGTGAAACCCCGATATGCGGACACCCCGACATCCGGACATGGGCTCGAGTTAGGGACACTTGAGATTTTCCTAAAAAATTTTAATTTTGATATCTTTGGAAATCAAGCCATGGTATTTATATTCATAAGAATTGAAAAAATATTTCATGATAAATTCACTCTAACTCATGATCAAAAGCAAGCTGATTTTGTGCTTCTTTTTTCTGAGTTTTTTTTTTCATCATCTGTACATATTCTAGCTAATCTAGCAAGATTTATTCATTTTAGATCTCCTTTTGATACTGTGCCAAAAGATCAAATTCGATGTGGTTTTATTCGCGCTGTTGTTTTCTATAACTTGAAGTTGAGGAAAACATTTTTATTACATTTTTTTGAGGACTTATTTCTAATTTTTTTTTTTACAAAAAGGAGAACCAATGAAATAGATTAGTATTGAAGTCTAAGGGAATATGAAACTCGACTTATGGACATTCTGGCATCAGGACACTCTTGATGCACCAATTGCGTCCGCATCTTGGTGTCTCACTGATCCACAAATTTCCACCCATTTTACTTCTCCTCTGAAATGTTACTTCGTTGTGCTGACTATTCGCATCATTGATTCAAGTTTATATTTCTTCGAATTTTTCAGACATGTTCCAGTACAGATGCCGACCCAAGTCGCATCGACGCCTGAAATGAAGCGCGTGAGGAAGGCGACCCAGATGCAATCGAACGTTAGTAAATTCCGTATTTCCTTTTTGACAATTAATTTGAAACCCATCCTCTGGACTTTTGTTTTCCGTTTTTTTTTTCAGATAACCTATCATGCGGAGTTTGAGAAGCAGAAGGGCCACTACACCCCGGTGGCGATGACGCCAGAGTTTCAGCGTGCCAGAGAAGCCACTCTGCTTGCCAGCAACGTTGTATACCACGGGGATTTGCTCAAGAAAGCTGATATGGACCATAAGCGTGCTTTGAACAAGGATGTGATTCTTGCCGGGTCTCCGACTGACGAGGAAAAACTCCGCCACGCGAAAACTCTGGTCTACGAATCTGCTACTGGATCAGGTGAATTTCTTCCTGGTGTTTTTTCAAACTGATTGTTTTCAAACGCTTACCTCTGGGTTTTTGAAGGGGTTTCTTTTCGTTTTTTTGTTGTTTAAGATTCAAGTTTGATTGAAAAAATAGGTAACGCGTCAACCTGGAATTTTTCAAATCTTAATTCCGAAGATCTGATCCACGTCTAGTTTAAAATGTAATGATTTTTTGTTTCACAGGTTTCAGTTATATTTTCACGACGAGTTTCTTGACCCTTCTGCATCGAAAAGGGAATCATTCCATGAGTGAAAATCACAGCGCATACGAGTATTTTATTCTCCAACAGTTAATTTGTTGGAATGCCAACTTGCTTCGAGATTTTGCAGGAAATCGTTTAAGGTCATCAACTCGTAAATTACGCATTGGCTTAAGTGCTTATTGGTACGGTACAACATTTATCGTCTTTTTTCCATCACTGATGGGTGAGGGAATTTTGCGAGTACAGTATTAAAAAAAAAGACAGGAAATGATCTAGACTTTGTTGAGGATAATTTTGAATGGCTGGATAATGTGAGGTGACTTAATTTTTCCTTGAAACGACGTGTGAAAAAAAAAAATTAAACTGACTGCGATTATCGTTGTTTTTAATACTTCGTTCAACTGTATCATCATCGTTGTTTTGCAGTTGACCCGTCCATTTCCCCGGGGAAACAAGTGGGATCTATTTTGGATTACGAACCTGGTCCGGAGAAGGAGACGGAATCCATCGATGAGACAACTGATGCGCCTGAAATATCTGTAAGTTAATTTTCGTTCCAATCAGATCCGTGTCGACTGATTGGGACGACTTTATATTTTCCCCCCCAAAGAGCGCCTCCAAGAAAGTGCAGCTCGACAGCAACGAGAATTACGAAGTTTTTCCAGTGGATGTCGGTTCAACTGAAACCACCGAACAGTTCACAACTGCGACTAAAACTACTGAAACCGTCTGAGATCAAGTCGTGAGCTGAGCAGCGTCATCGGAGAAAAACAAAACAAAAACTTGAAAGCTTAATATGTATATTTTTTGGCCTCTAATGAGAATCTTGTTCCATCTTGAGGGGGAAACTCAGTGCTTTATGGGATGAAGTGATGATAGGTCGGGAAACCACTTTATTTTATTTTTTTAAACTAAAAAGAAAGAAAGCGAAGCGAAAACTTATGAGCTTTGTGGAGCAGGTAGATGTGATACAGAACAGAATATCTCGGAAAGGTGTCGGGGATTCAAACGTATCTTCCCGATGGTTGCAGTCTTCGTGGGGGATGAATTCAACTGTGGTTCAATGAAATAAAATGATGTTCCACGGATGTGATTGGTTGATTTTTTTTGTTGCTTTGTTTGTTTGGGTTCATTTTTTATGTAGGTTCTAAGCTGGTGACAATGTAATCTGCTGGGAATTTGTATTCTTGGGGTTTTTTATGCAGCAGGTAAGACTACAATAATTTTCTCTTGACTATTTTTTTCTGCAGCATTGCGTCACCAACAAAATTGTTGAGAGAATTTTGTTGCTAAGAACCCCTATAACATGGGTAGAAAGCGCTTTTGGACCAAAAATTAATTAGTTGTGCAGAGAAAATTATTTTAGACATAATCGTTGTAGAAAGAGTCCACCAGTATACAGTAATTAATTTTTTTTTAAACCACATCAGTAAAGTAATTGTTTTGAATGTGCTGACAAGCAAACCATGTGGAAAAGCTGCCATGCAGGTCTGATGGGCATATCTCACAGGAAGCTTTCTGTGCTGCAATATCTGAATGTGAGGGTAAAATAGGGCGTTTTTGTGCAAACATGTTTTGCTTGTTTGCTAATAAATGTCTTTTAAAGTAATTGTCTTTCCATAAGTGATGTGGTTTACAGAACTGTACATTAAATGACAATAATGTAGTTAAATTGCAATTGCAGGCCACAGTAGCCAAAATTTAAGGTTCAAAATTTTCCCATTTATAAAATAATGTCTATCAGTGCTATCTGCCATGAATTGAAGTTGCAATAATTGCAGTCTTGAATATTTTTGAAGGGTCGTGTATATGGAAACGCATAGCATTTTAAAAATAATATTTTCATTTATATTATGAATAGTGATTGTGGTTGCCACCTTGGAAATTATGAGGAAGGGACTGAGGGGTTGATGAAGACTTGAAGAGTCTCTGCTGTGTGCCAGAATTGGGCCGCATTTTGTGCACCAGGAAGTTGAAGTAACACTGTACGAAAGCGACATCTGATACGAATTGTTCAGATTACAAAGAGCGTCCTCTAGTGTTTGTACCTATTTCGAAGCAATGTGTGTTCCGTGGTCACCTCGAGCAGTTCGCGCCAATTCTTGAATCAATTCCTCGTCGTTTTGTTGCGGGCAGCAGGATTTCCCCCCTCAGTAAGTGCAGGCGAAGTAATTAAGGAGCGAGTTTGCGTTTCATTTTTCTGTGCATAATTCTCTTCATTAAAGGTGTTCCAAATTGGGATGATTTCTGGAATCCTTGTGAATCCTCTCTCATCCACGAGTGTTGCTCTCCCACAGTCCTGTTACCGCCTGAACGCATCTTTTTGAAGTCCGTGGAGTCTTGCGTTCCTGTTCAAAGACCAGTTTAGTTCTTGAAGGTAAAACTACGAAATGCGAGTTGTGCAATAGTGACTGTTCGCCAAGTAATAGTGATTGTTGTCTGTATTGGCCAAATACCTGCATTAGCTGAGAAGTTCGTTCGATGCTTTCGATAATGTGTTTATATGCATGTGTTTTTAATGTGTAAGGTAACTGGGTGTTTCATCTCTTTCGTATTTCACAGTACAGCTGTTGCTTTCCCGATCTGCCCAGCTGCAAAAGATGGACGCTTTTGACTTGGCAATCTTGCCCTCTATATTCCACAATGACCCGGTAAGTAGCTAAAAAGGTTACAATTTTTATTTCGGACTAACTTGAATATCGTGGACTTGATTTACAGAGGTGCGTGGAACAGTTGCGTTTAGTTCACCGATTCCAGCAACTTCTGAACGAAGCTAGCTGCGAAGCAGATGTCGAGGAAGGCAAATCTATTTTGGAGAAGTTCCGAACAGGTTTTTAATTGAAATGATGTCAATTATGTTCTCGAGCGAACCGTATTTTCTTCTTTCCATTGCAGACGAGCTTTTCCGGCCTGCATCGCAGAGTGCTGTATCATCTGTGAAGGTAAGCTTCATATTATGGGTGAAATGCGTTGAAACTTACGATCAGTTTTACTTTCATAGTCGAAAGCAGGCAGGAAAAGGGCTGTTCGAGAAACCCCATCAACCGTCGTTTCGCAGCGTAAGTTTCAGTGCAATGGAAGTTTTCAAAAATACCTCACAAGGTAATTTTCTTTGCAGAAGACGAACCCAGAAAATCCCCCTCTTCACCCCAAGCAAAAAAGGTATTTTATTTGTTTTCTTGCTTGAATTCAGAAATGATAACTGTAGTGTTGTGAAATCGCAGTCGAGGACTACCAGGAAACGTGCTGAGAAAGAATCAATTGCCCCGAAGTCCGAAGCCGATGGAACATCTCCCGAAAACCTCGATGTTCCGACGGAAGTCGTTGAACAACCGCCAGTATGATAACTACGAGCATCTCCCACTGAATTCCTTCATTTTCAAAATTATATTCTTTCCATGACAGGTTCGTCAAACGCGAGCGTCTAAACAGTCTGCCTCGGTTCGTCAAACGAAAGCTTCCAAGCGAACTGCCTCGGTTCGTCAAACTGCGAAAGCCTCCAAAGCCAGAAAAAACGCCTCTGCGGACGTTCCGGATGATTCTTCAGATGATTCCGGGACTGTGCCTGAACCAGTGAAACCTGCCGAAATCGAAATACCGGAGACAATCGAACCTAAAGAAGATTCTGCACCACTAATGGAACCCGAAACGGTTCGTCGAGTCGGGCGCTCAAAGAAAGTTTCGTCGACACCGGCGCAAGATGAACCAGTTGAGGAAGAACTTCCGGTTGAAGCTGGTTAGTATTATAAAACAACCCTGTAGAAATACTGTACTACTGTATTTCGAATTTCCGTTATATTTTGAGTGAGTCACTGTACACCGATTGAATGACATCATGTTTCCAACATTGCATTGATTAGTTTCACTTTGAAAAGAATAATCCTCGAGCTGTATTTTTCAGTAGGTTTTTATTCAAGGTCCTGTAAAATTAAAGATGCGCCTTGAAATTACAGTACAGTATTGTCCTGTAATGGCGATAAATTCTCAACTTTTCCTTACCTTCCGAGAATTTAGCTTCGAATGCGTTGTCAAGCTCCTTGATGGGATTAAAATCCAATTGAATTGAAGTATTCTTGTTGAAAAATCGCCTTAAATTTTTCAACGATGTATATTATTTTAAGGTGAAGTAAAGGGGTCTTTGAATATTATTCCGAATGCAAACGTATTCTGATGTGTTTGTCCATAATTGAAGCAGGTCGTTCTTCTCCGTGTTGAAAATATTCTGAAATTCAGTTTCAATGAAGAAAACTGAAGAACTGTTGAAATTTTAACTGGATATATCCTGCAATATACTTCTGAAGTCGAGAATTTTTCAGATGAAAGGAAACCGTGTTGACGTGATTATTTATTCGGAAGCTCCATTTAAAAAATAATACTTGAATTGAGGGCTTAATTCCAAAATTACCTAACGTTTTTTGAATTTTATGAAATTCAAGAATTTTTTTTTGTTTGCTGAACGAAGTGTCATGAAAAGTTGATGTTCATGAGAACTAAGCTATACTTTTATGTTGTTGAAGCACCTGCATTGGATTCTGCGACGAAACCGAGTTCGAACAATTCCTCCGTGCAATTTATTGAACCTACGCCTATCGAAGACGTGGAAGAAATTGTCGTTAGCGATGTTGAAAGTCCTAAGGACGAGGTCATCACTGTGGAAGGATCTCCGAAGGTCGAAGCAAAAGCCAAAATCAGTCAATCGTCCTCGGAGGATCAAGTCGAGGCGATGGAAGTAAGCACTACCGACGATGACCGGTTAAGTGACCTGGCTCCTTTGAAAAGTAAATCTGTGGACAGCGGTATCAGTCAGAATTTCGTATCTGATCAATCCCAAGNGGATCAAGTCGAGGCGATGGAAGTAAGCACTACCGACGATGACCGGTTAAGTGACCTGGCTCCTTTGAAAAGTAAATCTGTGGACAGCGGTATCAGTCAGAATTTCGTATCTGATCAATCCCAAGCATTGGACGACGAATTACCATCTGCCGGGGTAAGTTTTGATACTGAAGACATTATTTTTGATTGTGTGATGAATTACAACTCCGCGATTGGGAAAAAATTGAAAAAAAAATTATTGATGGATTTTCAAAAATTGTTATTTTTAACAGAATTGAGATTTATCTTAACTGTAGTCTTCTCACCCGCTTTATTATGACTTCCTCTCGTTATTATTTTTTATTTTCTCAAAGAAAACTGGCAAGAAATTCCATTTCTCGTCAATACCTGATGCCTTGATTTAGTTGAAAAAAGTGAATTACTTGTATTTTAAATCAAGCCTACTCGTGTTGGTTCTCACTTGAATTTGCTGGAGTCAGTGTTCTGTTGAAACCTTCTTAAAGTCAGTGAAAAAGATGAAGGCATGATACTGCAAATTTTTAAGAATTTTTATTTCGGGAGTCTACGTCGAGTCGTATCAATCGATGAGGTTCGGTGTGATTTTCACTAGTTTTTTGCTTCGTGACATTTAAATTTGTCCAAGCCCGGCTTGATTATATTAGAATGCCCCTTTTGATTCTACCGTATTCTCTTCGTGGATTATTGATCAGCAGGTGTCGCCTGAAATCACCGACCTGTCTGAAATTAAGAAATAATCCGCTGTGATTAACCTAGCATAAAATATCCTAACCAAAGTTGGACTTCACGAAGCGTCGAAAAAGTCAGGCAATGTAATGTCGAAGGAAATCGCCTCGTTTTGGGACGTTGGACATTGGAGTGAATATGACCAAAGCTTTAGAATAAACAACCGAGTTATTCACGAATTTTTGTTACTTTTTTAGTATTGAAAGAAGTGCATAAAATTGAATCGAGGCTTCTTGGCATTTAGAGTGGAACGAATCGCGGTGCCCTTCCGGCCGTCGTATTTGTTGATCAATTTTTCCCGTTTTTATTATTAAGTGAGAAAAATTTGGGCGATTGAGTGTCGCTGTACCACGAATCTTTCACGGGCTCCCTTACGAAAACTGCCACAAAAAATTGTAATCCTCATTTTGAATTTTAATTTCAGGAGTCTAATCGAAAGCTGTCTAAGCTTGTCGAAGAACAGGCCTCGGTTGCCGCCATTTCCACTCCTCAGCAGGCGAACACGCGACTGTCCCGCAGAGACCAATTCTCCACTCAGGGCTCAGTCGCGTCCACTTTAACATCACGTCGGTCATCGTCTCTCGCCCCGTGCAGCACCATCAAACGCATTTGCAGCACGAAGATCCCGCTATTCATATCCCGCACCAAGTCTCAGTCGCCGTCGAATCGTGCTGCATACGCAGCCTCTGCCCTGAACTCTCTCCGCGCATTCCCGAACGTGTCGACGCAATCGTCTCTCGTTCGTCGCAACAATCCCATCACTCCGATGATCCAAAAAAAGCAGCAGGTGGACGAAGAAGTGGCGAAGAAACGCGCCGACAAGGAGCTCATGCTCGAAGCCAGGAAAATGGAGGAAAAGCGTCGCAAGGAAGAGCAAGCCAAGGCAAAGGAAGAGAAAGAGCGGAAGGTGCGTGAGAAGGCAAAGAAAATCGAAGAGCTCAAGAAACTTAAGGCGGAAGCTGCGTTGAAAGAACGACAGCAGCGGTTGGCGAAGCGGGAAGAGGAGGAGGCTGAGCGGAAGCGTCAGGCGGAAATTAAATTGCAAAAGAAGGCGGAGATGGAAGAGGCGAAACGGATTCAAGACGAAAAGCGTCGGGTTGAAGAGGAAGCTGCCAAAGCTCGTGCAGACGAAGAACGAAAACGAGTGCTGGCTGAAAAGAAGCGCTTGCAAGAAGATGAAACTATCAAGGCTCGTGCAGAGGAAGAACGGAAACGAGTTCTGGCGGAGAAGAAACGCTTGCAAGAAGATGAAGCTGCGAAACGGAAAGAGCGAGAAACCGTGGCTGCTGCCTCCAAAACTAAGAAAGTTCCTCCTAAACAGGTCAGCAACGCAAAAATGTATTTTTAAAATTTTTTAAAGAAAAATTAAAAGTGCAATTGAAGATAAATTTCGGGGCGCGTTTCCGTCGGAGCTTCGAAGATTCTTGTTCCAGCGACATCTAGAAACAGGAAATAAACTACTGTAATCCCACTCCGACGGCGTTTTGATGCTGTGTATTATAGAAATATTGTCTGCTGACAATGCGTTTAGTCACTGTCTAATATTGTTATTGTTTCGCAGCCGGCTCCAAGTTTGGACGCGACGTTCACTGTCGATTCGCCCCCGGCAAAACCGACACGCGTTTTCGAGACGTACGGCATTGAGGATGTGAAGACGGACGATGAAACTGACGATGAATCAAATCCGAAGAATCCTCTGCCGTCTTGGGCTTCAAGTAATGGAAACTCACCCAGTTTTTCAATTTTAAATAGTCTTGGTTGGGAAGGGAATTTAATCCACGTGCTGAATATAAAGTTTAAATACTCGAGCAAAACAATTCTGTGCATAACACAGCTAGCCAAAAAGCAGGAGAGCATCAAGTTCGAAGTAATTAACGACTTTCAGACGAGCATTGAATGAATTTTACTTATAATTTTTGTGTATATGCTGTATCTTGAGGCAGACTTCGTAGACAGAACATTTTGGTCCAATCCAAAGTTTCTTGGTTTGGAAATCAGACAATCCTCCATGGTTCAAGTTTAACCAATGCTGAAGATTCAATTTTCCGTTTGTTTTTGCTCACTTCATTAAAGTATTCCTAATTTTTTGGCAATGAACAGGGCTTAAGTCTTCATCATTCTGCTTTTTACTATATTTTCTTTCATTTTTTTCCGTCAATAGACATGACTTACATACGGGAAAGGTGGCTGGCCTCGTACGAGAACCCAAAGGCGAAACGGGAAGTGTTCCGCAAGCAGCCGAACCCGACAGTGGAAATTGCGTTCCGAGGTGTGAAGTATCACGCAGTTCAACGTCACGACGAGACAGTGAATTGGGATCGGGCGCCGACCTGGGACATGACCGCTGTTTTTGATTCCGACTGATGTGTCTGTGCATCCATTACGTTCTGTAGAGAATTTTTTTTTTTTGTACACGTACACGTTTGAATATTTGACGAGACCGTGACTTGGGACCAGGCGCCGACCTGGGACATGACCGCCGTTTTTGATTCCGACTGATGTGTATGTGCATCCGCTGCGTTCTGTAAAAATTTTTTTTTACACGTACTCGTTCGAATATTTGACGAGACGGTTACTTGGGGACCGGGCGCCGACCTGGGATATGGCCGCCGTATTTGATTTTGATCGATTTGTCTGCTGCGCTCTTCTATTTCTTTTATTACGTCGGGAAATTTTTTTTAACTTCAGCCGAAGAGGAAATTTTTTGACGTTAAGATGGTCAAGAAATATGCATTTAGAAATGTACTACGCACGTGAAGAAGAGGAGCGCAGCGTGTGCACAGGATCATCAGTCAAAATTGAATACGACGGTCATGTCAAATATCAAAAAAATTATATTTCTAGCACCCGAAATATTTGGACAAACTTTCTTGAATGATGCGAGGAAATAAACACGTTTTCCTTCGTCTGTTCCTTCTAAGCAAGCGGCTTGGTGGATCACTCAAAATAAAATGAGATTTTCCATTTTACAAATTTCTGAATGGAGACCTCATCTGAGCACAGTGCTGTTCAAGAGTTAGCATATGTCCATGAAGTAAATTCTCCCAACACTTTTTTTCTTTCTCCAGAAGTAAGTTTAGGCCCAGAAGATCTGCATTTACAATATTCAGTATTTTTTTTTTTACTTATCCTTGCTGCAATAAATTTTGTTTCCTGAACTCAGCCTCCAGAAGTTGAAACCTCAATAAGTTGAAACCTTGCATCTGAGTCAAATTTTTTTCCTGATCCCTATACAGTATAGAAACTTGACTCAGAGGCTTAACTGTATTGTACCCAGGAATGAATAATTTAATTCTAGAATATAAGGACCATGCGCTGAAAACAACATCTTGTCCATCTATATTGAAACAGTACCAAAGCGAGTTTACTTGGAAAGGCACATGGACTGCAACATGCAGATAGAAGATTCAAATTTGTGGTGTTCATGAAACGTTTTCAGTCTCATATCAGAAGGCTTGAGGGGTCTAAAGAAATTGTTGCAGAGAACCCCTTTGGTTAGGCAGAAAAATCCCATCGGATAAAACATTTTTATGCCAAAAATTTGCGTTCCACAGTACAGTATTGTAGATACTCATCTGAGCTACATGCAGTATTCATGCAATTTCTGGTTCTTGAAATCTATCAACACCATTTTAAAAATTTAGAGTAAAAGATAAGAATTCATCAAACTTTCACCGTCATTCACTTTTACCAACCATACAATATTCTGGATTTCATTTGATAATTATTTATTAATGCTGCATTTGCTGTTCAGTACTGTTCTGCTCTTTCATCGAAGGAACGGAGGGGACGGCTGCGATACAGGCAACAAGAGTCTATCCATCAATTGTACAGGTTCTCAACGTGCACGATCCTTCGTTTCTCCCGCCAATTTTCAGAAACCAGTGAGACTTGCTCAGTGTCGCAGCTGATCGGTGGAGTGGTTCATCAATTATGCGGTTGTGGAGAGTACGGCGGCACATATTTAATTTCATTGTAATTTGTGTTTTTCAATTATAGATTTGTGTTGTGGTACCTACTGATTGAATATGCCGAGAGCAGGAGGGCAAAGATCTGAGATAAATCAGTCCTCTGCCACTCGTAGTGCCGGTCGACAGACAAATGCCAGGACGAGTTCCCCGGATCAACATCGGTCCGCAGACAAAAGAGCATCGAAAAACGCTGATATTGACGATCTGCTCCCGAACCTGACGTTCATAAATGAATATCCCAACGAACTTGTTAATCGCTCCAACTCGTCGACTATAAGCGAAATTGAGGATTACTTCGACAGACGAGCCCGTGAAAATGTGGAAAAGCTCGCGGAACTTTCTGCTCCTAAAACACCATGTCAACTGCGGAAATCGAAGTAAGATCATGAATCATATTCCTCACTCCTTTATCGTTGAACATTCACGCGAGGCTTTCGTTCAGGGCGATGAAAACTCCTGTCACAGGCAGTGTTCGCCGGCGATCAAGTCTTAAGGGTTCTATGTGAGTTTAAGTCTGTCAGATTTTTTTGCGAAGTGTAATGTAAACCATGGAATTCGCACTAGTCTTGCCAGGAGATCCGCCAGGCTCTTGGACCGCTCGATGCGTCTTGCACGGATGGCCAGTGCGTCAAAAGTGGGCGATGTTGTCAGATCTGACAGAAAATTGAAGGCAAGTTATTGGTCTAAGAAAATTGCTTTTTAAGGTTTCCGGAATATCTCTCACCCTCCTAATCCGTAAATTTTCTCAATCATTTTTCCCCTCTTCAGCGTCAGCAGTTTTCATCCGCCAAAGCATCGTCAAAAAAGCCTCGTCCTCTGCGCCGTTCATCGTCTCTTAATTGCATTGTAAGTTAGGACGTCGCTTTTAATTTTCTAGTAATAATTTAAAATTTGTTTCCATAGGAATTGAATGAGCCAGTTAGACATTCGGGATCGAACAAGTTCGTTGTCGTTCAAATTCTGTCCGAAACCTCCAGTTCTGTAAGATCAGATGCAGACTCAACAAGTTCTTCACACATGCCTGTAGTTGGACCTCCGGCAACTCCGGAAAACGGTGAGTCTTAACTCGTTCCGAATAGTCCCATTTGTATACTAACCCCCTCATTTTGTCGATTTATTTAAATCATGAGCACCGTTTGAAATGATGAAATCCTATTTTTTAAAGAACTGCTCTCCATTTATGTTTCTTTTTCCTGTTCATATAAGATTGAATGATAAGTTTTTCTTGACATTGGCAGAACAATTACACTCAAATCTATAAAACATGTTGCAGGACGTCATTAAGCATATGTTGTATATTTCGATACAATTTGGGCAAATTTTTGATTTTCTGGGTAAATATTGATTGAATGAACCTGTTGAGTAAATTCGTCTTTCCAGGCCCAGATGCATCAGTCATTCCGTTCAACACTGTCAATAGAGCTTTGATGCAGCCTGCTCACGTTGGATTGACAAAACCTGAGCCTTTCACTATGCGAATTGAGGAGCGATTACAGATGAGGAAAAGGAAAAGAGAAGCAGCAAAGAATGAAAATGAAAAACCGACAAAGCGTCGACAAGTAATTTATTTTTTATTGCTATCAAAAATTAAATTGAGACTAGGATTCAATAATTTTGGAACCCGTTTTTCTTCTTAGATCAAAGTTCCATCAATGTGTGATGGCCATTTGGTGAACATGTCCTTTTTGGAGAGGCAAGAGCTTCCAAAGAAGAAACGTCGAGAGATATTGTTGAAGGCGTTGGAAGGAGAGAAAAAAGCGCGAGAATTTCACGCAAGGCCTGCACCACACGCTTCACATCGGGAACCCATGCTGTGTAAGATTAAATTTTTTTAGGATTCTAATGTTCCCGAGTTTTTTGGTGGGTTGAATGTTGAGCTTTTGAATTTTTCCGTCCTTTTTTTCTCCAGTTGCCCGAACGCCTCGTCCAAATGGGCATAATCAAACTGTTCCGTTGGACACTTACAAATTCAAGTGAGTCCCTTTTGTGTAATGTACTTTTAGTTTGTCTGTGTCAACAATTTTGTCGAAGATGAGAATATTTTTGAATTTTGATCAATAAAAAATCGAATGAACCTTAAAAAATGCAATTTAAATGCTATTCTCAGCTATGAAGTGCAGAATTTAACTGCAGAAAAAACCCACACAGAATTTGCCTTTTTGGGATGGAAAGCATGAAAGCAATCCAAAAGACAAAAAATAATCACCCTTATTGTCCAAATTCCTGAAGTCATTCTCAGAGGAACCAAACAATTTTGAATTAGAAAGTTGTTGATTTGGGAAACCAACATTTTTTGTGAAAAGAGAAACAATACTAACACGACTTTGAAGTTGTGATCTTTGTGGTCTGCTTTGAAGTTGTGATCCGCTGGACAAATGAGATGACTTGATGCTGAATTTATTTTTCTTTTCAAAACAAGGATAAAATTTTTCAATTAGTCCCCCATTTTCTCTTCAAAAGCATCTACAGTGGTTACATATTTTGCTCTTCCATTTCCTTGGTCCCGAAAGAAAATCAAATAAACACCTAAAAATTGAGATTTGACGGGAAAGCCTTTGAGTTATGGATTGCCCTGTTTTTAACAATCTTCAGGTAGTTCACCCTGTAAAAAAAAAATTGACATGAGGTTTTGGACTAGACATTTTTTGACATGATTTTTTTTTTGTAGGGCAAATCCGGTGCCTGAGGCGGTTTTCCGGCTGCCAAAACTTCCCCAGAAGCACGTCATTGCCCCAACGGTTCTCCGTCCTTTCAACATGCCCGGGGATGACAGGGTAAAGAAACGAAAATCGTATGACCGACGACAGAAGCTGCGGCAGGAGAAAGAAGAAGAAGAACGACGTCAACGAGAGGAGCTGAGACTCAAAGAGGAAGAAGAAGAATGGAAACGTGATCGGAAACTGCGAGAATTCAAAGCCCAACCAATTCCCGAATCCGTCCGACGCGTTCTTCCAGTTATTGTCGCTGCTCCAGTTTCTGATGAGGAGGATTGAGCACGTTAGCATATTCAAAAAAATCCAGCGTCAATAATTTCTCAATGAGTGAATCTTGAAAAAAGTGAAGCGCATTTTTTTCTATGATTTTTTCTATGTGGACTTTGATTGTTGGAAACTCTTTTTTATTTTTATTTTAAATCACATCTGTTGAGTAAATATCTTGAATGAAGACGAGTCACATTGCATTCGAATAACATGACTTTTTCAGAGTTTTTTCCAAAGAAAGGAAACTTGAAGACAGCTGGCCCACTTTCTAAAAAACCAGTGATACCTTTACTCTCACCTGTATTGTTTATTTTCTTTTATATTTTTTACTCGTGATTTTTTGAGCACTTCTGAGTGAATGTTTGAACGAGTGACAAGCGTGCTTCATCAGCGCTGGAGTTGTATTCAGGATTATCTTTTATCAATATTTTACTGCAATGTGAATGCTTCTGATATCGGTTGTGGATTGCATTTTCTGTACTAAAAGGGGCATCTTTAGCCTTTGATAAATGCGAAAATTATTTATTTCAAAAATTGTGATGCAAATTCTGGGATGACGAATTTCTTGAATACTTCATACTTTCCTTCTTTACAGGCCATCACTTTTCCAACAGGTTTCAAAAATTGAAGTAATCAGAAGGTTGATTGAGGTTTGTCAGTGACGCGCACTTCAAAACTTCACGTTTAAATATGCGACAACTTCGTATAAAACAATCTTGAGAATGTATGTTGTCGATTTAATATAGCATTGATGCAGTGATGATACCCTGATCTTCAAATGCTCTTCAACTTCAAAGGTGAGCTTTCTTCTGGCAGAAAAACATGGCACCAATTGCAAGTTTGAATCCCAATCCAAACTTTCATCCGTTGAGTATATGCATTGGGACATCCCAGACTACAGCACAAATAATGCAAACCAAAATAAGTATTGAGCATGTGATTAAATAATTTTTAGTTTTTGAGCACTCCTAAGAAATCTTGGTTAATAAAAATTCTGGAAAACATTGATTAAACAAGAATGATGAAATGAGAATTTAATTATTTTGTGACTAAAAGAAGGATTGTACTGCAGTACTGTATATCCATAGGAAAATTACCATATAACAATATATGGAGCAGCTGAAGTATACATTTTATGGACTTTTCTGCTTCCTGTATAGATGAGATGTAGGGAAACTTGACGTGGAAATGTGGATTCTTTTGTTGGTAGTTCTGAGATTGTGGATCTCGATTCAGTTGTTATGTTACAGGTGTGGAGAAATAGCAATTTGGGGATAACCAATTCTGCAGCAAAATCCTCGGTGGAAAAATAATGTACTGTGAAGTGTTCGGAGGTACAGTATAATGGTAGTTTTCACATTTATTTCAATTCAACCTTTTTTTCAACTGGATTCCACAAAATGCTACATTGTGTCCAAAGAAGTATCAGTTGCAGATGAACTACTTAACTTGAACAAGATAGCTACTGTATAGGAACTTAGCCGGGTGTATATGCACTGTACTGTACTTGGCTATTGTAAGATCAAGTCTGAGTTCCCTTTGTAGACTCTGTGATTAAGGATGGTAGTGCTCATCCCACAACCATGGCGCCCACCTATGACGAAGCAACCATGCTTGTCCGTCGGCTAACGTGAGAAGTTTCAAGGTTTCTGACAAGCGTGGGTAGGCGGAAGTGATCGCTGTTCCTGGACTTTGTTTCTCATCTGCGTGCGCTGACGGGTTGCCCTCCACTTTGACAAATTTAATTTTAGTGAATCCATTTTTTTTCTTGTGATTTGAATGTGAGAGTTCTTTTTTAAAATCTCTGTTTTCAGGCATCGAGGTATCCACGATGATCTTCGCCGGAAATAGTACCGTGCATCTTGCCGCGCTTTGTGCCTGATGAATCCTCCCTTTTCGCGAGAAAATCATGTGTGCTAGTTATATTGTGTCCTGTGAATCCCTAATAAGCTGATTGAAATTGTGGACAATTTCTTCCAACATCGTCATGGTTGATGGAAGGTTCTTCGACGGTTGCGGAGAGATCTATTTCGTTAGCGGATATCAAACCGCGATCTCTTACAATCTCGAACATGCGGAACGAAGTCACTTCGACTTCCAGAGGTACCTAAGATATTTATTTTCGATCGCTATGAACTGACATTTACCAGCTGCACCTTTTTTTATACTAGGGAGTGGGAGACGCTCCGGTTCATCTTCGCGAGCCAACAGCACATGCAGCAACTCATCTGCCGTGAAGAGTGAACCGATTTCGGCATGCCCTTCTCCAGTGCAGAACTCTGTCGTCGTCAAGCGGGAGTCCACCTTTTCGCCTGTCATTTGCTTCAATCAAGGCAACTCGGCCTTCTCTGTCGCAAATAATGCGACCTCCAGGAAGTACACAGCCAAATGTCGGTCCTTCTCAGCTTCTGGGGGAGCTGCTTCTTGCCTCTCAGCTTCTAGTTCTTTGCCTCCTCCTTCACCCGTGATTGTTGCCAATGGTCGCAACTCGGCACTGGCGCAATCCTTCATTACTTCGCAATGTCCGAAGTCTAACATTGCGGCTCGAGATTTTCAGAGAGTGCTTTTGAAATCGATTGGGTGAGTTCTTTGTGATCCTGCGAAATTTCCTTGATTTTTCTCAATTTTTCATTTATATTTCAGGGAGAACTCCATATTGGCAGTGGACGGAATTTTAGAGCAAATTTCGCAACTTTCGGATGTTGAAAAAGCCTTATTATACAGCAAGTTGCCTGATGGCCGTGAAGGCGAAGAAGATCCTTTGAAAAGCTGCGCTAATCCGCTGGGATCCCGTTTTGAGATTTCGCAGACAATTTCATGGATTCAAACACACCTCGAAGAAGATCATGAAGTTTCCCTTCCGAAGCAAGAAGTCTACGAAGATTATCAGTGAGATTCCATTTATGTCCTCTGTTGTCTCGGTGAAATTAAATTTTCCTTCTGTCATTTTAGGGAATTCTGCGAGAGGAACGACATCAAGCCGGTCTCAACTGCAGATTTTGGGAAAGTTATGAAACAAGTTTTTCCTCTAGTGAAACCTCGCAGGCTCGGAATGCGAGGTCATTCGAGATATTGTTATTCGGGTCTAAGAAAGCGCTTGTCCGTTGCCGTGCCTTCTCTTCCCGATGTTTCTGATGCGGTAAGGATTCAATTTCACCAGATGTAATAATCTGGAAATTATTTCAATGTGGATGAATTAATTCGCTGGTAATCGGAAATATCGAATTTTATGCTTGAAGCTTCCGCGTTTTCTAGGATGGGAAAAAGTTTACTTTTAGTTTGAAACCTTTTCCTTATGCTATACTTCTGTAATTGTGCACTTCCATTCTCCGGAATAAAGTATTTTAAAATCAACTAAAAATTAGTGTGAACGTGGCTGATAACGAGATTGGTTGGGAACTGATTGCCCTACTTTTGTGATTCAACCTACGGAAACCGAGGGACTAGGAAAATTAATTGTACATCTGATTTGTCTTTCTGTTCATAAGTTTTTTTTTGGAGAGTCCAAATACTTCTTAAAATACCCTTGCGTATTAACCCTTCAACACTTTCCACGGAAATCACAATTCCTTTTCGGTGCTTGTTTAATTGAATTCCAACCTTTTATTTTTAATACCTGCACATTGAAGCCAACATGTACTTCACCTGGTAATATACAGTCCAAAATACCTGTATTGAACTGCACGACGTACCCAATTTTTGGACGCCAATTTTTGCGAGAGGATTGAGAACAAGTATTTTATTCGATTGAAGTGAATCCCCGCGTAAAAGAGACCCGCACAACGAGAATTCGCATAACGAAAATTCGTTTGGGGAAAAATGACTCGCAACGGATTCTCCCGTCCAAAAAATACTGAATATCATCCAATTTATATGTAAACTTTGGATCTATCCATCATTAAAATTGAAGGAAATCAAAAACGAAGGGAACAGTTTTGCATCTTCGTGCATTAAGAATTCGTGAAATTCAGAAAGTTGAAAGCAAGAAGTTGTAAATACAACACCAGTGTTATTCTCGCGCGAAGTATCAGTCTGCATGCTGGAGATGTGATGGAAATGCCATGTTTTCATTTTCTTTTTTGTCAGGGGGAAGCTTCTGAGGAACGAGCCGAGTCGGATCGAGAGCGGAACGAGATGGACGCCGTCCGCTTGTGGGCGTCGAACATACTGCACAAAGATTTTCACTCTTTCTCGGAACTCGCGACGCATCTGATCCGGGCCGGCGCCGTCAGCCCTGCCAAGTCCGCCCCAAAGCCGGTTTCGATTGAAGTGAATCCCCGCGTAAAAGAGACCCGCACAACGAGAATTCGCATAACGAAAATTCGTTTGGGGAAAAATGACTCGCAACGGATTCTCCCGTCCAAAAAATACTGAATATCATCCAATGTATATGTAAACTTTGGATCTATCCATCATTAAAATTGAAGGAAATCAAAAACGAAGGGAACAGTTATGCATCTTCGTGCATTAAGAATTCGTGAAATTTAGAAAGTTGAAAGCAAGAAGTTGTAAATACAACACCAGTGTTATTCTCGCGCGAAGTATCAGTCTGCATGCTGGGGATGTGATGGAAATGCCATGTTTTCATTTTCTTTTTTGTCAGGGGGAAGCTTCTGAGGAACGAGCCGAGTCGGATCGAGAGCGGAATCTCTACCTGCGGCAGGCGAACACCCGCAGCTTGTATGACGTGTTTCTAAAAGTGAGAAAGAGCCTTGAGCGCTGCGTAGACTAGGCCCGGCCGCGGCAGTCGGGACGGTTCAGGCGGGGTTTCGGCCCCGTGAAGCCCAAGGCCAGCAAAGCCGATCTCGTCCCGGCACCGCCGCCACCACAGAGTACAAACGCCGTTGTGATACTGAAGCCGCCGGCGAAACTGCCGATACCGCGGCTCCGACCCGTGCAACCCCAGCCCCAGTCCCCCGTTGGGTCCGTCGTCACGTGTCCCAGATACGTCACGATTCAACCCAAGGCTACGTGCCCGAAGCGACCGGCCGACTTCTCCGCTGCCACGCAACCGGCGTCCAAGGAGATCAAGACCGAGGAGGATGAGGACGTGCTCAAGGCATTTGACGACCGCATTGACTTGTCTGCGCACATGGGGAACGAATCGCAGGTGATTTATTTACTCCTTCGTACCCCGTACCCGAATTTGCATTATTTTTTAAATTGGTCTGTTTGGAGGGGAAAAAATGGAAATTTGGGGTTTTGAAAAAGGAGGCTGTAGTACGCCCTGAAGAGTGATTGCATGTGATTTAGTAATGGTCATATAAGTATCACGGTACAGTACTGTATATTTTGGACTCCCCATGGAAAATCGTCATGCTTTCTGACGCCTGCGTAAATGGGGTACAATTCAAAAGTGGTGTATACGCTCGATTAAAAACCGCACCCAAAATTTATTCAGTATGAATCCAAACGATTATACAGCCTGCGGACGTTTTGGGAATTTTTAAAATAGATTGAACGATTTTTTTCTGGTCCTTCGAAGTACAGCACGTTGTAGAGAGAGTCCT